GAGGGAGGAAGAGGGTGCGAGTGTTTTCGAGGTTGGATGCGACTGCAGTTGGAGGTGCGTCACGATGATTGACCGCGAAGCGTGATTGTGCGGAAGCAGCGCAGTGTGAATTGTAGTGCTGCTGGGCGGGGAATTGGACGGAGGCTGGCACGGAGTGAAGGGAGAAGTGACACACCCACGAAGCAAGAGGCCAATGTTGCAGTGGCGTTGGTGAAGCGTTTTCCATGGGGTGAGCTGAGATGTTTCTCCCATGGCGCTTAGCTGTGCCCGCGCCAGCCCGCGTTTTTTATCTTTTTGACTCCACAGAGTGTCCAGGCTTTTGATTTTTGCTTGCTTGGCACTCCTCCACAATGGGAGTCAACGAGTCACGACGACCCATCGGGATGCCAAACCCACGGGAATTGTGTACTTCAGCGTGGTCAATCTGGATCAGTGAGCGGAGACCTGCGGCACCTCATTCTGCGGCGAGTATCTCACGCACTGTCACTGGTATCAGCGCCTTTGTGTGTCTGCCCCATGACCGGCATTTGTATGGCGCACGCCCTTGGCAAGGCTGAGGGAAAGGGCGGGGATCCCCACGGGCACGTGTCTGCAGTCAGAATGCGTGAATTGTGGACTTGTTTGTGCGGCAAGGCAGCAAGGTCGCTCAGGAGAAGCAGCATAGACTGGGAGTACACTTTCTAGCGGCGCGTGCTTGGTGACTCCTGAGGCGAATGCCCCAAAGGGACGTATGTGGGTGATGCAGATGCACTGGATATGCACAGTGCCATGCTTCGTGACAGGGAGCGAGGCAGGTGTAGCGTGATTCCTCCTGCCACGGACCTGTCAACTTTTGAGGAGTTGGGGTGAAGCTAAAGGGACAAGCGTGTGTGTCTTCACCTTCTTACGGGAGGACGCGCAGAGGTTGGTTTTCTTTTGTTATTTTGTTGTCACGATGCCTGCGGTGACGTTAATGGGGGTTTGTTCTCCAGGGGCATTCATTGTGCGATTTTTGCGTGTTTGGTGTCCAACGTTTTCAGCACCGCCGAATATGGTGTTGCGCAGGATCGGAATACATGGATGTGCGAGAGCATTGTGTCGCTCGCTCGTAATAACACACACGCACACAGTTTCAGTGAGTCTGATACTTCGCGTTCTTCAGAACGGTCGAATTCACTTGTGGGACATCACTTCATTTGCGGCGTCGGGAAAGTGAAGTAAATGAAGAGATATGCCGAGAACGCAATGCCACTCCATAATACCGCGGGCTGGCGGCGACAAGGATCAGGGAGCCTCTACCCAACGTTGAGAAGACGGCAGCGCTCTGATGATCCGGTTTGCTCTTTAGGAACTTCTAATGTAGTGTGCACCGTGTGGGCCCTTTTGCTGCGGATATGCAGAGGGGTGAGGTGGGGTGGAATTGTTGTTGAGGGCAGAACGGACGCCGCCTGACCTTTATTGGAGGGATGCGTGGCGTTATTCCGTGTTTCCTGCCCTGCGTTGTCACATTCATGCTGTGAGTGCGGATGGCCACAGCAGTGGAGCTGAATACGGTTCAATGTGTGTTGCTCACGGGGACTGCGCTACACATGTTTTTTGTTGGGAGGCCCAAAGGAGGGGCGCATCGCCGTTGCGTGATTCCCGCGGCAGTCCATTACCCTGCGACTGTGCATGCTGCCGTCCGCTGCGCCACTGCAAGCCTTCGTCTTTGTGAGAAATGGGGAGCGTGACTGCTGTGGCGGTGGTCGAATGTTCCCGAATTGGTGCTTTTGTTGATCTCACTTGGAGCGCCGAGCAGCGAGGGGCCGCACACGCCCAGGAGGTGGGAGTGCGTGCTGCAACCGCACCTGCGATTTGTTGTTGGGATGTGACAAGTTTCTTTGTTATTTTTGTTTTTGGTGATATGCGGGGCAGCGGTGTGTTTGCGTGTGCGGGCTGCTCATGGCTGCTGGTGTTGTCTTTCCTGCTGTTCTCTCGCTCCAGTCCTTTGCGTGCGACGGACCAAACGTTTTTACGGGCGTGTGGTGGGGCCGCGTTCTTGCTTGGAAAAAAAGCCTTTCGCAGGCATAATGATACTGCCGTCCGTGCCACACGAGGCAGTGGGGAATTTCCTGGGATTTATTGGCGGGGTGGCGCCGCACCCATGCCGTGTGGCAGGTTTGTATTCCGCAATGCACGGTGAGGGGATGTGCGGTGACAACTTCCTCCAGTGGAGTGACACGAGCAGCACGGGGAGCGGAACGGAGGAGTGGTGGCTGCGTGCTCCCAAGTGATACATGAATGGCGAATGCAATATGAAAGGCAGCGTCACGGCACTCTTTTGCCATGCACACCGCAGATATTTTCCATAAAGCACGCAAGTTGCACTCTTTTCTGTTGTGTGTGGGATTACCGTGATGCATCGCTGTTGTGGCGTGTATGATTTGTGGTTCTTGCGTGTGGCCGTTGCTGCAGCGAATTTACTTTTTATTTTGTGTGTCAGGGGCTATGTGCCCACGTCCTCTTGCAGAGTGTGTGCGGTGTCGGCGGTGCCACAGGGGTGCGGGACCGTGGCGAGCGGTATGCGTGGACGAACTCTCCACGCCCACCACGTTGTTGTTGTTTGCTCTCTCAAACACTGTGCTGGGTGGATGGCACCCAATTTCCGTCGTTGTTGTGGTCCTCGTGCATGTGGTGTGCCGTCACAAAATGTGAGTGACTCTCTTTTTTTGGCTGTGAGTCATTTCTGTGAATGTTGTTTCCCTCTCATCATTATTTTTGTTGTTGGCTAGTGTTGTGCTGTGACTCAATCCAACTAAGAAAGCAAGGAGAAACCATGCCTGGTGGGTCCATGAGAGTGCAAGGTGGCAATGCCGAGAGTCAAGCGTCTGCTGTGCCGCAGGGAGATGGTCAGAGGAGAGCGAGGCAGGGGTTTGAGAGTGAGACAGATGACCCTGATGGGACGCGCAGAAGAGTGGAGGAGGTGCGGCGACCGCAGTGGACACTTTTGAGTCGGGTGGAGGATGTAATGCTGGAGGGAAGCACTAGCAGGCCCAACATGAAGCTGAATGATTTTTCTTCGGAATCATGTTGGCGGCAGGGCGGCCGTTGATGAGGACCACAATGTGACGATGGAGATGTTTTTTCAGGATCCCGAGATGTTTATCCAAAACGAAAGGTTATTACGCATAATAACGGCATTGCTCTCATACAAAGAGCTGGAGGCTATTTATAAACTTCATTGCGAGGGTGTATTCTCTCTCTGGCAGTGGAACATCTATGAAAGAAAGGATACGGCCACTCCTTTTGCAAGGGGAAAACTAGACGCGGCTATTTCCCAGGTGCTGAATGAAGAGAGGCATGAGACAGAAGAAAGTCGTTGGGCGGAAGAATGGGCAAGGCGGCGGCAAAAAGTAAAATTGACCGTTGCCACCACGATCAAAGATGTGCTATTTAGAGGAAGAGTTCGCGTCATGGAAATGCAATTGAATGATTTTCTTGTGATGGAGTTGGACGGCATGGGCATTTTGCCCGCCAATCGGAATGTCTTGCTGAAGGATTTTGTAAAGGATTCTGCGAGGTATATTCACGGTACGTTTTTACTGCTCGAAATGCAGGCATCCAATCATTACAAGAGGATGGAGAGGGCTGTAAGGGATGAAATGGATATGGAAGAGGATGTACTCAGGCTTTACGAGAGAAGTGTGGACAATCTACTGAAGTGGTCATTAGCTGCTGAGGAGGTAAAAAGAAGTGTTCATTGCATCACTAAACACTTTTTGGATGCAGCCTTCATTGAATTGATGAGCTCAGTGACGATGAGTGCGCCGATGAAACTGGAGGGATGCTACGAGTCTGTGTACAATGCGAGGTGGAGCCATGTCGTGGAAGTATGTGACGGCGAGAAGACGGGACTGGAAGTGAGGGAGGGGGAAGCACCACAGTCATGGAATTACAGGGCAGTTGGCCGAACTCTCGAAATGGATGACGGTGTGCAGCAATCCGGTGCACTGCGTTCCAGGCAGATGGTGCTCACCTCAGAGAAGGGATGGCCGTACTCGTGGAATCTGAAGGGGGTGGAATCCGCTTTTGACTGCCATGTGAACTGTGAGGTGGAGCGAGTGTGGCGGATCGTCAGGAATGATCTCACCGCGTGGTTCAGCAGTTACCGTCGGACCCACTTTAAGCCCAAGAAGCGTCTGTTGATTGGGACGCCCGGGATCGGGAAGTCGATGAATGCCGGTTCGTACCTCCTCTACCAGCTGCTGCACTACGATGTGGAGAAACTCCAAATGGTTGTGTACTTTATTGGGCGTCAATCATTTCTGTTTGACAAGATCACAAAAACGGTGTCAGTGTACATGGATGACCCCGGGATTGTGAATGTTGTAAAAATTTTTTCCTTGCGTGGGGTGAAGGGGTATTGTATCTACGATGCGGCATTGGCATGTCGTCAACCGCCTGCCGGTTTGCCTTGCAAGGGATGGGGCATGATTGTGGTGACACCACCAGACAAAAACGAATATGAAAGGTGGACAAAAAAAATGGACGCTACTGCAATCGTAACGAATTGTCCCGAAGAAAACGATGTGAGGGCAATGTGCGTTTGGATGAAGCGCAATTGGCCCCTGCAGGAGCAAGCGGAATACTGGAAGGAGGTGATGGGTCGCATGAATAACGTGGGACCAATTCTCCGCTCCATCTTTGGTAAACAGGCATGTGATGACCGCATTAAAGCGTGTCAGCAGGCCGTGGATGGGTCGACCGCCTCTGAATTAGAGCATAATTTGGGTATTGGCTGCTGTTACTCGCCTATTGACAGTGAATTGTCTCGAAAGCTTGTGAGGGTTGTCCGAGTACGACGAGGAAACAGCATTGAGTCGCCTCTGAATGTACTGATATCTCCCCACCTCGAACGCGAAATATTGTCCAGGTTGGAGAATGAAATGAAGCAGTCCGATTTTATTTTTTTTGTTTTGAGGTTCTGGGATTATGCCCCACCATATATTATTGAAAAGTATGCCGTATCCGCATTTTTGAATGAGGATTTCCTGCGTGCGATAAAACTCAAAATCAGGGAACTGAGGCCACGAGGACGACGTGAGCCACACAGCTGTGCGCTGAAAGAGCACTCAGACAAGAGCTTCACCAGAAAAGAGGTTCTACCGCCACCGGAACGTCTTTCCAATCCGGTTGCTATGGACCACTGGGTGCTGTATGAGCCGAAAGTCCAAAACTTTCCGTTGGTGGACGGCTTTTTCTTTGTGGACTCAAATCCGAAGACGCTGGTTGGGCTGCGGATGGCTACGGCGCGTGAGCACCACACGAATACCAGCACTGTGAGGCACTTCACTGAGTGCCTGGCGGCATATTTGAGGTGGGAGGAGTC